ATAAAATCTAACTTGAAAACAAGGCCTTTTGCTCTAGCAAAAGAAGAAATGTATTCACATGAAAAGTTAAGAAGAAAGTCAGGTAAAACATTTTTTCATGCTGTTCTCATATAAGGATATGGATTGTTAGAAAAATTATCTGTCCCCAATGCATGAAACCACAACAGCCTTTTCTAATAACATTTTTACACATCATTAGATCCTGAGACAAAAAAAAGTTGCAATGCAGTAAAACTGCAATTCTTGTTCTTTCAAAGAAAATTACATAAAAGTTTTCAAGTAGATGGGTATAGCAAAAATAATGATAACGGGTATAGCAAACAATAATGATAACAACGGCTGCTGCAAAGTCTTCAGTGTTTCCAATACACACTTCAGCAGAGCATTACAAAAAGATGAGGCTGGCAGAATACAATGCTGACCAAGTAGTCAAGTGTGCATTTAAGGTTGTTAATTACTTACTCAATAGTGGACTAAGGATAAGGTTATTACAGGACTCTAAGAGCAAAAGGGGGGAAAAAAAGGAAAACAGAATCTGGCAGGAAGGTTATGAAAGAGAAAATTCTCACTTTAAGAAAAACTGAGTTAAAGAGTTATAGAGAGACCAGTGAATGTAATGAGAGCTGCTGGGAAATCAAGGAGATAAGATTGCAAAAAAAAAAAAAAGCCTTTATCAATTACATACAGAAGGGTGTCAGTTTAAAACAAAGGGATGTGTGAGCTTTAAACTACTGATATTTGGGAAGTAAAAAAGCATACATATTTACTGTGCATACAACATACAAGTGATTCGCTAAGAATTATCATGTGTGATTTCAATTTTAAAATGCTAATGCTTTCTCTAGCAACTGTTAGAACCAGTGAGGTTTTTAACTTGCTCTCTCAAGGAGGAAAGGCATTTGCAGATTCTCACTGGAAATCTCTAGGACTGAGCAGGTTATCAGTATGGCCTTGCTCTCTCAGCCAAGAATATCTACAATGTAAGTAGGGCTGTGATAATATTTCTCTTCTGCAGAGTTTTATCTGATTGGACCTAGATTGATAACTGATTCATTGACAAAAGATCCTAAAGAGGCATCTGGTTGTAAATTCTCTTTGGTCAAAACCCATCAAGGGCCAATTTAAACCATTTCAGATATATTTTCAGTGTGGAATATTTTTTCATAGCAAAATGGACAGTCTACAATTATGGAAAAGGTAACATTCTAATGATTTTATTTCAAAGTGAAAAAAAGCAGAAGAACAGGCAATTGGAGCCACTTTACCAAGTTTCTTCTGGGATTTCCTGCAACAGGAAGATAAACTAACTCCATTTCAAGCATGAGTTTTTTATTTTCTTAGTAATTGTCTACCCAGAGAAAACCCAAAGGAAGTCTAAAAAGACTATGAAAAGACTCTCAACTATAACAGAATTTATTGGTAGTAATTTGGAGTCATTGAAATTGTCAAAGATTCTGAAGTTCTTTTATTTCTTCCTCTCTAAAGATTGTCTTTCCTTTTTCATCCTCAAACCTTCCTTCTCTGTCTTCATTTCTGTTCTCTACCTACCAGTCTCACCTTCTCCAATAACTCCTCATTACTGTCAAACCTTGATTTTAAAGATCTCTGACACCAGAAACGAAATCTTCAAAACTGGGGGAAATGAGAAAACATTCTTCTCAATGCTTCCTTTCCACTGGCCCTCACCCCAGATGTAGTCTCATGCACACACTTGGGTGCATGCTGCCTCCTTCACTCAGAAGACTTCCCGCTCAACTCCCCTGCCCCCTGATGCACCGGGTTACAAAAACAGACCTCCAAATCCCACCCAGTTTCAAAATCCACCTCCCAGTCTTCTGAACTGCTGTCTAGACAATTCCAACTCACAGGGCTCTCTTTTTTCTCTAGCACCCATACAGTCTGCGTGATACTTTTTAATTGTACTTTCTCAATATAACAGTTGTAATTACTTGACTACTAACACCAAACAAACTTGGGCTCATTTACTAGCAGTATGATCTTAAGCCATTTCTCTAAGCCTCAGTTCTCTCAGCTATAAAAATGGGGATAGTAAGATAGAAGTTCAGTACCCTTGCTCACAGGGTTGTTAGAGGATTAGGCAAAGGAATTCATGCAAAGTGCCTAGTACAGAATAAACAGCCAATAAATATTAGTCATTTTTATGTTGTCAGCTGTCATCCTCTAGGGTTGTATTTTTATACCTTACAAATTTTAATAAATATATCCTTATAGAATTTATGACTAAATGACCCAGTACTTTCTCAGTAATGAGGCTACGGGGACAATAATAGCAAGCTGATGCAGAGAACTAGTCCAGGGTTAGGAAAATTAACTTCACTACACATTTACAGAAACCCCCATTACAGGCCAGGAATTACTGAGAAGTTTGCAATAATTTGCAAAGTAGATCATGAATATCTCATCCCAGGAAACACCCAAATTTACCCAATACAGAAGCTGTACAGTAATAGTCTGCACTATCCAGAGGGTCTTCCTCCCTAGTTCCGTGCCTCACAGAATGGCTCAGCTGTGGGTCATGACCTGAGGAGGGGAGCTATCACCACAGACCTCTAAGGAGAGAGTAAGTACTTTTCTGGGAGGCAGTAAAATTATCACTGTCTATGTAGATAACCTCTAAGTGTCTGTGAGGTATTTCAATTACTATTCTCCTAAAACCTGCATGAAAATTTCCAAGGCAGGTAGGTGAGCAAAGTTTATTTTAAGCAACATACAAATATTTAATGTGCATTCTTTCAGTTCTCAATTTCATGCAACCCGTTAGCAACTTAAGAAACACCCTTAAATGTAAACATAAGTAAAAGATGAACAAGAATGCCTTGAAACCTCTGTTTCATTCCTAGAACACAGGACCAATCAAGGGCCTATTTTTCATGTTTACTAAGAAAAAAATATGGAACAGTTAAGTTAAAGGACCTATGACCTGAAGAAAGACCTTTCTGATGTTATGATGAAATTTCAATTGGGGATTGATTTCATCCATTCATTCAAAATACATTTACTGAGCACTTACATGTCAGGCCATTCTAGTTGCTGAGGACAGAGCAGCAAATAGAAGACGAAAATACCTATTCTTCAAAAGCTGAAAGTCACAGACAGCAGTATGGCGGTTACCAGAAGGAAGGGGGCTGGGGGTGGTAAAGGGGATCAAATATAGGGTGATGGAAGATTTCACTTTGGGCGGTGGGCTCACAATCTAATACACAGATGTTATCATAGAATTGTACACTTGAAACCTATGTAATATTATTAACCAATGTCACCCCAATAGATTTAATTTAAATAAAGAAAGCAAAAATAAAGATCCCAATTTCCTATAAAAAAAATACCTGTTCTCAGGGCATTCACATTTTTGTAGGAGTGCACTGGTAAACAAATGAACAAGTGACTATAAGATATGCAGGGGCTGGGCGGGGATAGGCAGCTGGGAGGGGAGGGGGACATCTGTAATAGTGTCAACAATAAGAAGAAAGAAAAATACAGACATGTGGAATGGTGCTGTGTTGTGTAGAAACAGCAGCAGGAGGAGGGCAGAGAGGGGGTGGAGCTGTGGTCTTACACTGGAGGTTCAGGGGATGCTTCTTTGAGGAAACAGCACTGAAAGAGAGGAACTGAGTCCATGCAAGTATCCGGGAAAGGGGCTTTCCATGCGAAGGAAACAAGAAGAGCCACAGTCCCCAAGCTGCGTCTTACGTAGATATTTAGGGAGAAAAAGAATAAAAGAGCCCTGGGTTGGAGTCCCAGCTGTTTGCCTTTTACCAACCCGAACCTAAGGAAGAAGACAACTCTACCTCTCTTGAGCCTCAGTTTTTCCCTTTAATTAAGGGTGGTAGGACGCACCTCACAAAGGTATTTCAAGGGGAAAAGGGACATTTAAGAATGCACGTTGCCCGGCCGAGCGTGGCTCAGCGGCTGAGCGTCCACCGCGTCGACCTGGGATCCACGCGACCGGGGTTCGATTCCCGGTCAGGGCACATGCCCGGGTTGCGGGCTCCATCAGTGACTCTCTCATCATTGATGTTTCTGTCTCTCTCCCTCCCTCTCCTTTCCTCTCTCTGAAATCAATAAAGATATATTTTTTTAAAAAATACTATAAAAAAAAAAAAGAAAAAAAGAATGCACGTTACAGCACGAAGGAGAGACTCCCAAGTGTGTGCCCTGAGGGCAATGGGAAACTTCATAAAGGCCCTGCTGGCTTCAAGCCGCGACCTGGATAAAAGCCCAAGCCGGTCACCCCTTCTGCCCAGCGAGGATAACGGGCCTATCAGCCGGCACAGCGGACCCGACGAGCGAGACGAGCCGCGTAGATGCAGCGACAGACGCGCACACTCAGGGCGTGGACCGTCCGTTCCCCTGGGTGTCTGACTGCGAGTGGGCAGGGCTCCGCTCCTCTGCCCAGCAAGGGGCACCCAGGTGAAGCGCCTCAAGTGAAGCGCTTTCACTGACCGCCAGGTCCACTCAAAAGCGCTGGACTATTGGGAGTTTTTCTTCACATCCATATCGTGACATCCTAACTTCTAAGAAGTCAGCTTCCCTCTCTGAAGCCTTTTGCACACACTCAGGTCCCATCCCATTATAACGGCCTTGAAGTTGAGCTACCGCCAAACGCAGTTTCCCCAGGTCCTGAACCGGCAGCCCCAGGGCTCCCAGAGCGGCGCCGCCCTCACCTCCGGCTCCCGCAGCCTTGTTAATGCCGTGATGACGTCACTAAGAGCCCCGCATGCGCAGAGCCACGGGCGTGGCCACGCCCAGGCCCGCTGAGGCCCAGCCTCCACGCAGCCGCCCCAGCTTTTCCGGAAGAGGTCGGAGAGCAGCGGGTGAGGCCCCGGGTCACAGCGCGGGCGGGGCTGGGCTTTCCGAGGGGGCGCTGGCGCCTGCCGGGGCCTGTGGGCACGATGTCCACGGGGAAGAGGGGGTTGGCGGGGAAAGTTCCTGAGTCCGCTGGGAGTCAGCGGGACCTGGGGTGGGCGGAGGGCTGATGACTGAGAGCTGAGGATCTTCGGTTCAAAAGGCCGGATTCCTCGCGGGGTTCGTCTGAGGCGCCGATGGCGGGCGTCGCAGAAAAGAAGTTACCTCGGGTCAGCTTTAAGGCATTCCCCTGATGCCGCCCTGGAAACTGGGAGGGAGGCAGCGAGAACTGGCCTGCGGGGATTTTAGGGGGAAATATCTGTGACTCGATCCTTGGAGGGTGCGGGGAGACCCTGCGAGCGGTTTCTGTCCTCGGTGCTGAAGACAGCGGAGGAACCGCTGCGGGGCGGGGCGGTGTTGGCGATTCCCGGGCTGGGCTCGTGCCTACACTCGGACAAGTGTGCTCAATCTTTCCATCAGCACAAGGACACTTGGGCGATCAGCAACCTGTGTTGCATTTCGTAAAATTTAGGAAAGCCAGTGCTTCATTCCAGGAAGGAACTTTATTCCTGTCTTTTCTCCCTTAGGGCTGGCACCCTCAACTTTCGCACCCAATCAGATGATTTGCCTTCAGGCCCCAAGCCTTTCAGAACATCTCGCTAGACCTCTGTATTCGCCCAGGCTCTGCAGCCAAGGTGAGCTTGCTCATGTGCCATGAAAATGGGCTTCCCAAACTTCCCAAATGAGAACCCTGAGCAGCCAAGGTAAGGTGAAGGGACCAATGGTGCCACCCCCCCCCATCCCCCAGTTACACATAAAAAACACTTTCCTATTTGGACAAGAGATGGTAGGACTGGGCAGACTTCCAATAAAGGAAAGACCATGAATTTCCACTTGGTTCTCAGACTTGTTTGCGTGTGTGTGAGTGCACACGCATGAGAGATGCTGTTCCTGTGTTGAATTTTACACAGTAGATATTTTTCTTTCTGTTGATTCAATAAAATGTTTACTAGTGTTAGTACCAGCTGCTTGTTTGTTTTGAATTCTGTTTAAGGTTAAAATGTGTATGTGGGGCAGGGGGCTGTGAAATGTGTTGCATTTACCTGGTGCACAGTATTCTTAGATGCATCTGGCTTAAGAAAAACTGTGCATTGTAAGTAAAAATGTTTTTAAGTTAAATCTTTCATTTTATACATTATTACATCTCAAGTTTTATTTTTCTCTTCTGAGAGAACCAATGGGTTGAGGTACTAAAATGACCAAATGTTGCAAAGCTGAGGACATGGTAGAAGTAACTCTAAATGTTTTTATTTAGCAGGAAGCTTATAAGGCAGCTTTAACTAAAGATGACTTCCTTGTTTGCTCAAGAAATTCGCCTTTCTAAAAGACATGAAGAAATGTAAGTTTTTTTAAAAGGCTAATCTAAATGTATAAATTGTACTGACTGGTAGTGAAACAGGAAGACTTAAAAATCTAAAAGTGTGTCATTTCAATTTTCTGATACTTGAGAGATTTTGGTCTTAGGGAATGTCATTGTCTCTTAAGAATAACAAGGATTAAAAGGTATAATTACATTGTATATGTTTTTGCTTTTGTTACTAATATCTAGATAATTTCATCCTTCCTCTCACCCTTTTTAGGCCTCACACTGGTAATTAATGGACTTCTCTAAGCCTCTTACCCTAAGCCAGCTTCATGGGTATGTGACCTGTACAGCCACAGGCCCTGCATTTGGTTTAATTCTCTAATGTTGCACTCTTGAAATCGCTAATACTTTTTAACAAGGGGCCTCACATTTTCATTCTGCACTGGGCTCTGCGATCATAGAGCCAGCCTTGTACTTACACTTGGTATCAACCTTTCTGCACCTCTGACTGTGGGCTCTCATTTTCCTTTCCTTTGGTTCATTACCAGGCCCTCTTCCTTGGCCTTTGAAGATACTTTATTTACAAAAAGGACTGTTCAAATACCAAATTTTAGTTCTATCCTCAATAACAGTTCTGTGGAACGATGAAACAGTGTTTCTTGAGAATCTCCACAACAATTTGGGAAATGGTTACTTTATTTTATATATATATATATATATATATGACTTACCTATTTTTTCTCATCTGACATATTTACTTAGTAATCATTTAAGAGGACCAAAAACTTGGAAACTGAGCATTGGACCAGTGAGAAACTTTTGAAGTATATTATATGTAACAAATAGTTTGATAATTCACATACAACTTTTTACATCTTCCTTCAATTGCTGATTTACCTTGTGAGTATGCATACATATAGCCTCTCACTCATCTATGGAACCATCATCTTTCTCTTGGCAAAAGAGGAAAAAAATATTTTTATTGCTTCTTCAAACATATGGAAGTTTAGCACAATTCTAAATGTGTAACATGAGCTTCAGGGGTATTGAAGTGTTAAGCAGAAGGTTTTGTATAGCAAGTTATATCGATGTGTGTGTGTGTGTGTGTGGGTATATATAAGTATATACAAAGTATGTACAAAGGGATGTGTATTACAGTTTGCATTTTCACCAAAAATTAAAACATATTTTCAACACTTTAAAATAATTGCATAAGACCAGAGGGGCTATAAAAGACAGAAGCATGTACTTACGGTATATATGTTAATAAAAATCAGTCATTTTATCCAGATTTAAGACTTATTGAACTACCTAAGTTTTTCACTGTCTTATTAATTGACATAGTAATTGGCTTTCAAAATTGAATACAAAGTGAAGTACAATTAAGAAATGAATGTTTTATACTGGTCAAGCAATAAAATGTCTCCTTCTAAAAAAACTTTATACATAGTAATCTTCATTTTTTCTAGAGTATCACAAAGATTAAAGTTACTTCGGCAAATGAAGAATAAATTTGGAGATCAAAACAAGGAAAAGGCATCTCAGATTCAAGCAGCTGAGACTGCTTTTAAAAGGAACCTTAGCCTTTTAAAGGTAAGTTTCCATGACTTGAGTATAGAGTTTTTTCACACCTTTTCAAAAAGGTTTCAAGTGAAGTTCATAATTTTGATTTATATAATGTCTTTGAGGGAATAAGTAGAATTAATGAAGCATCATCTATTTTGTAGACCCATGTTAGTTAGATAAGTATCATATGGATTCTCATTTTTTAAATGGAAAGAAGTGAAGTTTGCCTAAGCTAAACGTTCTCAATCAACCGGAAAAATCAATGACTACAGAAGGAATTTTAAGGTCATCTTATCTGTAGTAAGTAATAAATACATCTTTTATCTTCTCTTTGTAGGGAGACCTTGAAATACCATCAAGTACCTATACTGTATTTAGATACAACTCAAAACTGTTCAATATAAAAATAAGAATGATTTGATTTCGCCTTAGTGGGGCCACAGTCCACATAGAATTCGTATCTAAGATAACAGACTTTCAGGATCCCTCTCAATGGCGATGGAGGGGGTGGTCAAAGTGTGCAATTGCGCAGGGCCTCACCATTTGGCCAATGTGCCCACTTGGAGTAAAATCATATGTGTAACATTTTTTGGCTGCTTGCTATACTTTGCTTCCAGAATTGTGTGGCTTCATCCATAATTAAAACCCTAAAAGTTTGCTTCCAGTCAAGCTTCCAAGAGATCCTATGACTAAAACATTTGGTAAGAAGGCTATATTATTTAAGTTATAAAGCAGTGTTTTCAGCTTTTTATTGTTAAATATTTTCATCGATAGGCATGATATAGTTATCTCCTGTCCTCACTAGAGGATGAAGGAAGAGGAAAATTCAGTCATCTTCTCAGCTTCTGGCAGTTTGAGCCACAGTAATTTAAGTCACAGCCATAGTGCTACCAAAGCATTCTATGTTGCCATATGTCTTACTTGCCCAATGGTTTCTGCAATATTTATTTTTAAATGGAAATATATAGGATAATCTGGAATTTGCTGTGAAAAGTCAGAAAAACTAAATTAGAAGGCTTGAAGGCTTGGTTGCCACTCCAGCAAGGGCAGGTAATATTTGGTTTTCAAGCATCTTTTAATGAGCAAGTATTTGATGAATGCCCAGAGAGGGTCCTTACTATTGAGCTAGTTCTGGTTAGAAAGTGGGAACAACAAAATAAATATAGAGTTCTTCACCTCAAGTAGCTAACAGGCTTAGTTGATGGTGTAAGGTTGTCACACACAAAATATGACCCTTTATAGGATCAAACATTAAGTTATGTGGACTACTCAGCACTCATATTCAAGGAGTAAGTGTAAAAAATCTTTGAGAGCTCACATCTTCTAACAGGTCTCAGAGGAAGCTAAGCTGGAGCTGTTTAAACAGGCAGAAGAAGGCAAGGCATTCTGCTGGATGGTTGCAGAAGAGCCTACAGAATGAGTGGCCCTATGAATGTTCATGGGACCATGAGCTAATAACTAGCTTGGAAAGTCACAGGAAAAGGTTGGATATGTATTGTGAGATCAAAATGAGTAAGTTGAGACTTGATACATAGAGATAACATAGTACTGAAAGTCTTTGAACAAAAGAAAAAGACTTATGTAAGAAACATATGAGTGGCCTTTTAAGATATTTTAAGGAGGATTCATTTGCTATTTAGATACAAAGTGATTTCGAGAATGAAGAGATTGGATCTAATAGCTATAAAAAAGCTGTCATGTCTAGAAGGAAAGAATGAACCATTTCATAGTCACCAGAAACCAGTGTGATATGGTATTTCCCCCAATTATCAAAGTAATATATTCTTACTGCAAAAAACATGAGAACAAAGAAGATGAAATAACTTACTTATCCTGCCCATCTAGGAATTAATATATTTTTGTATATTTCCTTAGTCTTTTAATAAACATTTATTGAGTACCTATTACATCCCAGACACAGATACTATCTTTTCCGTCTTTGTTTTACATATTTTGAATAATTGTGTATGCAATTTTTTATCCTGCTTTCTCTCACATTTTTTTTAACTTTGGAAATAATTTTAATGACTCTATTATAGAAATTATTGCAAAAGTAAAATAAGCAGGACTTGATTACAGGATTTTGAGTTGGGAGAGACTTTAAAAAGTATATAGATTAGACTGTCATTTACAGGTTTTCAATTTTATTTATTTATTTTTTTTTAGCATAGGAACTTTTCCAAAGATGTAAAACAGATAAAAATGGACAGCTTTGGTCCAAAGCCCCACCCATTTAGCCCTTCTTTGCCTGCCTGCTGTGGCTCTAAGGAACCGTGAAAACCATTAATTTAGAGATGAGGAAACCGTAACTACTCCCAATACCCCTTGTCAAGAACAGGTTAAGTTACATCAGGATGTGTACTTAGTGCAGAACATGCTTCAAACATGGCTCCATTAAAACGTGGAAGCAGTCCTGTGAAGACAGTGGTAGCAACATAAGGATGACCTATCTCACCAACCATTGCTCGACCGTATTTAGGTGGTCTGGCCAACATGACAGACACTGAAGGGGAGTGAGCTTTCACTTTTGGAAAGGAAGTGTAACACTAGCATTTTAAAACAGGATGGTTATATACTAAAGGCCAAAATTGTTTTAAAACTAGTATATTATGATTTGAGCAAAATTAATGGATAAAAGGTAAACATAAAATCAATAGCAATCCTATAGCTAGGCTGGAAAATATGAGAGATAACTTTCACATTAGCAATAAAATTATAAAATACTTGGGAATACTCTTAATAAGGGGTATGCATGATTTGTATAAAAACAATTATTATGTTTTAGTGGAAGACTCAAGAGGAAACTTAAATGGAGATACACGCCTTAATCCTGACTGGGGAGTACTACGTTTCTAAACTCAGTTATCATAAAGTTATTTTTAGATTTAATAAAATCCCAACAAAATGTGTATCAAACCCCCAAAAATTTCTCTAAATGCATTTGCAAAATTAATTAGCAGGAATATCAATATTTTTTAAAGAGGAGCAATGAGAGACTAATCCCATCAAAGATTCAAACATATTAGCTAAAGAATGAACATGAATAAAAGTAGTGACCTAAACTCACAGTGAAGGTTTCAAGAGCAAATACTGTAACAGCTAGTGGACTTTGAGAACAGGCTGAGTGGGCTTTCCCTGTTAGTATTAAAATGAAATTTATCTGCCTTTTACAAACAAACATGATTGGTATGGATTTGTAGGAGAGAAGATTTTGTTCCTCTCTCTACCTTTATCCTCACAAAACTTACTCTTACCCAAAAAGGGCAGTTTTGTGGTAATGGACATCATCTCGGGAGGAAGGTGGACTAGCACTCCAGGGCAAGGGTGAACGGGAGAGTGCCACAGCAGCTTAGCCCTGCATGAGGGCTTCCAGGCAGGCCTGTCCTGGAAGCCTTCACAGGGCAGTTGACCGTTAGAGCCTTCAACCAACTGCCTGCCACCCAGATGGCCAGTGACTCACAGGTCCACGTCGGTGCTCTTTCCTCCTCACATCTCTCACTTTCTCCAATTCAATGAAGAATACCTTTAATGAATGTTTAAGTGTTCCTTGGACCTCATGCTTTAGTATCTTATTTTTTCTATCCCAGAAATTGCACCTCAGCAGATTAAAAGATTAAGCCCAGCCCAGCCATAGCCTGGTTCATGCTATATTTATTTATTTATTTTTAAGCCTCACCTGAGGATATTTTTTCATTGCTTTTCAGAGAGAATATACGCTATACATTTACAGGGCGATACATATTGCTGGGTTGGGAGAGAGGGACATCTGTGGGGAAGGGAAAGATCTGTCCATGAATTTTTGTGTTCCTGTTTCACCGTTCCCCATCATGAGTCAGCTAATCTACACAGGCTGATGAATCCTGCCACTGTGTAACACTTACACCATCATACACACTGGAAACTGTTTTAATTGTCATGAAAATTTTCAAACCATGTAGAAGAGGGAATAGAAGAATGTACTTCCACCAGATTCAATAATTAGCAAACACGGCCACTCATGTTTCACCCATACACCTCACCTCCAACCCCAGCACCTCAGATTATTATTTTTTTAATATTTAAGAGAGAGAGGGGAAGGGAGAGGGAGGGAGAAATAGAAACATCAATGATGAGTCATTGATCAGCTGCCTCCTGCATGCCCCCTGCTGGAGATTGAGCCCACAACCCAGGCATGTGCCCTGACCGGGAATTGAACCAGGATCTCCTGGATCCTAGGTAGATGCTCAACCCCTGAGCCATGTCAGCCGGGCCCCTCAGATTATTTTGAAGCTAATCTTCAACAACACATTGTTTCATCTGCTCATTTTACCATCTCTACATTACTTCAGTGTTTATCACTAAAAGAGAAGGACTATTTAAGCAAAATCACAATATCATCAATCTAAGAAATTTACAATTATTCCTCAAATATCCAGTCAGGATTCAAATTTCCCTGATTAACTTATAAACATGTCTTTACATTTGTTTGAATCAGGATCCAAATAAAATCCATCATTGACATGACAACAATGTGGTGATTGTGGGAGGAGGGAGAGTGGGTGGAGGTAGAAGAGGGTATGGCAGATAAATTTTGGTGATGGGAAAAAATTAAATTTAAAAAAGTATCCTGCTTAAAAAACCAAACAAAATCCAATCTGTGATTGATTAGAGTCCTGAATCTCTAAGAGCCCCCCTGCCCTTTTAATTTCTTTGTTGAAGGAATTGGATCATTTGCCCTATAGTTTCCCATGGTCCAGGTACTGCTAATTACATTGTTGAGGTATCATTTGGTATGTTCCTGATTCCCAGAATTCCTATAAACTGTTAACCAAAGTTGTGCAGTGCAACAGAAATATAATGTGAGCTCCATATGTAATTATAAATTTTCTAGTAAACTCTTTTAATAAAGTCACATGAAATAGATTAAAATGTTAGTAAAATTAATTTCATTACATATAAAATATTGTTTCAGATATAATTGCTAGTCCTTCTGGCAGTATACAGTCAAAGACATTTTTCAGTCAGGCTAAGAAATTCACATTAGCAATAAAATTATAAAATATTTGGGAATGCTCTTAATAAGGGGTATGCATGATTTGAATAAAATCATGGGTATCAATTATTTTTTAATCTAGGTAAGGACATATTTAAAGTATTTTTTAGCAAAACTAATCAGTTTCATGTTCAGTATGAAGTAAAATGAGAGATCGTCTAGGCATAAGTCCAAGTAAGTATTCAGTACATATTGTTGACTGATAGGTGTAATGATAAGGCCATCGCATTGGGAAGGAGGTGGAGAGGCCAGAGGAGACATCCCGAAGCTTTGAACTTTTAACGGCAGGGAATAAGAGGAGTTGAAGATACTGGGTGGCTGGGTGAACAGAATCCCCACTATTATACATACAGTACATCCAGTAGCAAGATGTTTGGTTTTATTAGGCTGAGAAGTAAGGTTAGGAGGAAGAGTTACCCATCCTTCTACTCTACATGCACAGCTGAAGCTAGAGAAGAGACAGTGTTGGAGGGAAAAAAGGTGAAAAGACAATGGATGTCACAAGTCTTAAGAAAGCCCACACATAGGATAAAAGAAAAATAAAGGAGCCAGCTGAGAAGACGAGTCAGAGAGGAAAGCAAAAAAGTGAAACCTCACTTCAGGAGGAAGTCCTCTGGAGGATGACCGCCTCCCATGGAAATGCTGCAGAGGTGACAATCCCTCACCCAGGCCTGCTTTACCAGGTTATGTGTCCCCATATGTATCTGCTCTTCTGTAAGAGATATTTGGTGTCCTTGTTTTCTGATCTTTAAGAAAAGTGTTTATAATCTTGTCTACAGATTCTAGTGACACCCAGATCCACCATTAACAATTTTATGCCCTAGCCGGTGTGGCTCAGCCTGCACACCAAAGGGTCATGGGTTCAATTCCCGGTCAAGGGCACATACCTGGGTTGCAGGTTTGATCCCCACTCCCAGCTGGGGTGCATGTAGGAGGCAACCAATCAATGTGTCTCTCTCACATTGATGTTTCTCCCTCCCTCCCCCCTCTAAAAAAAAAAAAAAAATCAATGGAAAAAATATCCTCAGGTAAGGATTAACAAAAAAAACAACCTTATAACTAACTGTTCTTTACAGTAATGATATACTTAGGGTTGTGATTTTATTCTATTTGTTTTATAAAAGTAAAAAGTAATTTTTCCAGAACTTTGTAAAATCTCAATATAATCACACAAGAGTTAGTCTCTTATCTGCTGGAGCATCGGCATCAAAAGCTCCTTAGCACATGTCTTAGATGTAAACTTCTGGAACAGGATCAACATGCTAATAGATGGGCTTTTTATCCCTAAATTGATGCTTTTCCCCTTCAAATCACCTTCCTCTAGACAGCAGGTGCATTAATGGCTGTGCAACTTTGGGGAGTCCCTTTAGGGAATTTCCTGTTTTTCCCTTTTGCATTTCACACCCATTCCGTGCTCCCCGCCGCTGCCATCTGCCATCCCTTTTCTTCTGTTCAGCATTGGCTTCTTCACACCCACTCCCACGCCCTCTCCCTCTCCCTCCGTCTGTCCAACAGCCCTGTACTGAGATTGCTCCAGTGCTTGTACATGGATCAGAGAACTTTCCTTTCTATCAAATCACTAAGCTCAAAGGAGAGACAAAATTTACACGGACTTCAGCCAAGGCCTCCGTGAACCTTACAAACAGAAGCACAAGACAGCTCGGGTGCTGATGGGGAGCATTAATTTAAACAGAACTCACATGTTAAACAGAACTGCTATAGAGGTGCTACATTTCTGGGTATGAACGTCATACAAGCATCAAGGTAAAGTCTTTCCCAGGGTATGAATTAAGTTTAATTACCCTTGTGTTGCTGCAATAGTAAGAGGAAATACACACATCCACAAGTTCAGCTCCACATTAAAGCACAGTGTTTGAATGCCATCGGCTGAAGGATACACTACCGAGCAATAAAACCTGCCACAAGATAACAGAAATCTAGGACTGGAAATCTAGACAGAGTGAAAAGGTTCTTGTTGCAAAGCACTGAGGTACCTTACTGACCTTTTAAATACAAGGAGTATTTGCATAAGTATAAAATGCTAAAAAGTGGAATATTGAACAAGTGAGATATGTCATAAAATATCATTTACATGATCCAGACGGACTTGATCTCTTTACTTTTAAGGTTAGCACAGCGTGGGGCTGGGTATATGACTGTTTTTAGTATCTGAATATTTGACTGTTTTATCCATCTGGCTGTTTTTAATGATTTGAGAGCTAAGTTGGTGCTCTGAGCAGTTTTAGAGGAAGTTTTTTTGCAAGAATTATTGACACTGTTTAAAATAAGACAGAACTTAGAAGTACCCCCTGCCTTTTACTTTAAAATAAGCCCTGCACTCTGCATTTGAAACTAAATAATTAAGCAATGATCAGCTCTCCTACTTCAGTGCCCCTCCATCAGTTCAAACTGTTTCCGAGGAGAGTCCAGGCGAGAGATTTGGGATATGGATAAAGCTACTGCAGGTGCCATTTGTGTGTGGTGTAGAAGTGGTAAATGCATTTTGTTTTAAATGCTGGTGTCTGTTACAGGATATAGAAGCAGCAGAAAAGTCTTTGCAGACCCGGAGTCACCCACTTCCACTGCCTGAGCTGATTTCTCTTGAGGTGAGAATCTTAAGGAACAAAGGTAAAGGAAGGACCTCTCATTGTAAATTAACTAGTGGTTAAATGTGTGTATTTCCAAGATTGATTTATTCAGTTAAGTAAGATGTCTGATCTTTATGTCCACAGAGCCATACTTTGTACATAGTAGGCAATTGATAAGTATCTTGATTTAAAAAAATATTTTATCAAGTGAAAATTTTATAAAGATCCTGCCTTTCCACCTAGTCACTTAGAAACAACTACCCTGTTAAACTCTGACAGACAATACTCACTACTGTCAAGATGACAACATGCCTAGCCAAAGTGCTTTTCCTGTTGTCTGATGTCACATGTAGCAAGCAGTTCAGCCCTTCACCAAAAACTCAACCAGTGCTACTTAAATGCATTTTATGCAGTATAGTGTGGCTTTTGTCTGTTTTATTTTGCTCAGTGCAAGAACAGATTGGGAAGATGGGTGGCAAAAATAAACCGTATTTGGCATATGAATGTATTTTTGATGAAAGGGAATTTACTACATATAGAATAGTTTGATTTGATATTTTTAATGACCTTTTTCAAATACAGTTTTGCTTGCTGCTTAATCAGGGATGTGAACAGACTGAAATTTAAAGGCTGAGAATTTGCCCCTTAATTTTCTTTGTCATCTGGAGTAATAAGAAAAGCCCATGATCAAGGAGAGAAAAAACCCTGGTACAAAGTTGCACCCTGGGCATGTCTTTCTTTGTTGAGTTCTCCAATACCTTCCTCTGGCCCATACAGGGCCCACACAATAGGGGTTAATCTAGCCGTGAATGGTGGAGAAGCTCCCAACCACAGGCCTCGGTGGTCTTTTTCTTAACTAGTCCCGCACAGCAGGATGACCTTTAGTTTGTATGTCAGGCTGTTTCTCAGACCACATGCACAGATGCAGAGATATGTAGAATCCCTCACCATTTTCAATTCCTAGGACCCCTGGAACTTTTAAATGCTCAGAGTGAATCGTTATGTGTTCTTAATGCTGTCTTAACTCTGGCTGAATTTCCCAGAATGTGACTGCTGGTGATGACCTAATACAAAATGCTCCCCTGTGACACAGAGCTTTGGGCAGGTTACTTTTCTTGACCTTCTTAGGACAGACACCCAAGAAACCATTAAAGCTCATGCACATGATATGGTGAAGTTGTATGAGCTTCTGTAAGTTACAGCTGGCTAGAGCCAGGCCAGCGACACAGCATCTCAACTTCCAAGTCATTTCAATTAAAAAATGGTTAAGTGATCTTGATATTATTTTTTCATACAAAAAAAAAGGAAAATAAAAATTTGTCATATGAAATGCTTTGTTAAAAGATACAGGAGATGCATTTTTTAATGTTTTCCCCTGTGTAATTCAGCGGTCAATTCACCTGAATCCTGTACTATAACATACTAGTTACATTTACATTTGAGTTTCTGATTTCATTCCAGGTCAAATCTTTTTATGTTAACTTTAAAGTAGTTAGTGTTTAATCATTTTATTGTAATAATTTTAGTGGGGGTAATCACTTGGTATGAGATTTGGAACATTAAACAAAAACATTTAATGACTGCAGCCATAAATGATAATACTGGTAATATTCACAAGGTTGACCACAAGAGGGCGTGCAAAATCACAATAAAGTTCTGAAACCTGTAATTCTGCCAGGCTCTGGTTTTACTGAGAAATTTGAAAATTAACACTAGTAAGTAGCCAGATTTTTTTCCTAAAATTAACATAAAATATTCTGTGGAGGAAGTGCATTCTACGTGTGTGTGTGTGTGTGTGTGTGTGTGTACACACGCACACACACAGTTAAGTGAATAAACATTTAGACTATTATGAAGAGCCAAGTTCAATTGCTTGATATGCTTTCTTACTTTTGGATGTTTTTTTCCTAGACTCTTTACTGGGCATCAGTAGAAGAATATATTCCCAAATGGGAGCAGTTTCTTTTAGGAAGAGCACCATATCCTATTGGTGTTGAAAATCAAAATGAAGCAGAAAATGCCATTCGAAACACGACACAGTGATAACTTCACATTCTAGTTCAAAAACTGTGTTTAGTAAAGCTGAATATTAAAGAATATGCGGGTCGTTGCAGGAATTTTAAGAATCCAATATATTCTTATTGCTTCATTACATCCTTGAAGACAATAAAGACATGAGAATCTACTGGAAGGTCTCAGGTTAGCCCTAGAGACCTACTGCTCTCTCAAGGTCATGACTTTGTTTCTACCAAACCCATGCAAGTAGGAAAAACTAATATTGAAAAGTGGACTGTTTATTAAAGAAATCGCTAAATGAGTGGTGTGTGTCTTATTTTTAAATAATCATTTAGTCATTCTCATTTAAACAATGAATACCAATTGTTAGTTCTGATTTGACATTTTCTAGAATCTTTACTTTTCGGTTATTATGGAGACAAGACACAGGATCAAAGTGGTTGGTATCTCACTATTTTAATTTCTTTTAACAAATGAAAATATAGTGACACTAGCTTTACTATAACAATATTTATCAGAAAATAGGTTCGGAGGATTTTGTTCCTCTGCGATAATCATACCCCTCAAAGTTCAGCAGGAAACAACTGAACTATAAAGCATTTGGTAAGTAGCCAGTTTCAGCAGCACTCAGACTGGGTTCTGAAAGAGGACACCCGCTAGAGCTAGGGGTGGTTGCTGGATGTCGACTTGCCAGCTCCGAGAGTGCAAATAGCTCCTCTCTCATCCTTTCGTCTTTGGACTTGGCCTTCCCTCTCCCTTCTACCTTCATTATTTCTGAAACCACTGTCAGTTAGGAGGCTTTGGGTCCCAGCCCTCAACAGCTCTGAGATTCCTCCATGCACTGCTGCTTGAATACACAAAAAATTGTAACTTTTCTGACTAAAAAGGCAACTCCTGCTAAGAAAGGGGGTCTTTGCTACGGTACAATTAAAGATTTTCTATTTCAAACTGGTTTGTGTTTTTAAAAAGAAGATAATAGGACAGCTAAACAAGTGCACTAGATTGAAATATGCACTGTGCTGACGAGGTCCTTCAAACTCCCACCTTGGAAATGTCTTGCTGAGTGGGCGCTGGTGTGGATGCCAGTAATGCTGTTTTCATCACAGGCACTGGCAGGCTAGCCTACTTCTCCAGTGTGAACAGTTGCAATGGAGAAATAAACAGCACAGAGTCAGTCCGAGGACAATTTCATCTATAGTGTCACAATACAGAATGTCACAAAATATTAGAACTGTTATATAACTATCTCGAGTATCAGCGTAAAAGCTGAAAGCCTTTTTAAAAAGGAAGAAAAAAGAAAACTGGCATCGCGGCCAGAAAAATTCTGTACCTTCTCAAGAATGTTCTGCCACGAAAATAAATCGATAATTTTCCCCGTTACATTACAGTTTGGTTCCCAGCCATCCAGTTGAGTTAGCGGGAGGATGCAGTGCTTCCTAGCAGCTCTGAATCCGTAAACAGATTTAGATGCAGGAGAAAGGAACATGAGGGAGTTTTTTTTAACATCCAATCTTTCCCAGCATATGCACATAGGAAGGTGAATGAGGCAATGTGAAACTTATTTCTCTTTAGTCAAGTGAAAAAAAAGGCTAAACATTTGTTGAGATGGTAAAATATTGTGTCAAGCAAGTAGGCACATTCCAAAATTAAACAGTGGTTGATACGTTAACGTCCTCAAATATTTGAGCGCACACTTCCTTTGAGTTCTGTAAATTAAATCACCAGTAGGTTAGATTAAAATACAAAATGAATAGCAATTTAACCATCTCAAAAAAGATTCAGGTTTTTTCTCCCCTAAACTAACTCACTGAATAGTTTTTAAAGAGTGTGTAAATTTAATATATTCTGGGTTAGGATTTGGGGCAGAAGGGAAGGTGTTTCTAGGTGTTAGCTGTCTCATTTCTCCCATTTCTAGTTAATACCTCAAAAACTCCCGAAGATGACTTTATTCCCGGCCCCCACAGAGCTTTCTCCACCCCTCCTCTCCTTGGAGACTGTAACAGATTGCACCACATGGTGTGTTTAAAAAAAAAATTCCCATAGGGACCTGGATACCCCACTAAAGGTCTTTCTATTCCTCATGGCAAATTAGCTCTACATAGGAATTTCCAAATATTTTCTTAAGGAGGGAAGAAATACCATATCTAATGTACGTTTTTGTACACAATCAGTAGGAATCAGACAAGAAAAAGGAAATGTCAACTACTCACACCTCCCCCTTGTCAATTTGTTCCCTTTTCCATATGCTACATTGTACCTACTATTTAATCTTCATTAAAACTACATTTTTTTTTTTTTTTATAACAATGGGTTTTCAAAGTAAAGGCTGTTTCAAGAATTTGTTTCCATAGCCTTTCTTGGATTGTTGCACATCTCTAAATAGTCAAAGTTCATTTTCTGCTGAACTACTTCGAGTATATGAAATTATTCAACTATAAAATGCTAAGGATCAGAAAGAGCTGCAGTTTTTCTCCAAACTTGAAAAAATAAATTTTACTAAGCACTAAGGAGAAAGCCTAGTACGCTGGACGCCAGACATCTGGTCTTCCCATGTGTAGGGAGCAGCGTGAATGAAATACAAGGCGAACAGACAGTTCTCTGCTCTGTGTACGAGGCGTTGTAACTTCAACTTAAAACTTAGACAATACTAATCTTTCACTCTCTTTACAGTTTTGTCTCCTCTGACTTTCTCCCTTTCCATCAGACAAAAATAAGCTGGATAAGTGGGTACATTTTTAAATCAAAATTAAACTTATTTGGAGGTTATTTGTCACTTGTAAGATCATGGGAGACAGGCTGAGGGTGAGGTGAGAATGGGGCATGTGAAAAACCAGAGTTTGAAATCACCAGTTTTAGACAAGAGGAAGACACTACACTTTAAACCACTGTCGGGTGGGCTGTAGCGTGTAAAGTTTGATGCCCAAGGCCATGAATTGGGCTTATCTACAAAATATATTATTTTCTTTCCTTACTCTATTAATCTTTCTTTTTACTCGCAGCCAATTCACATCCTTTTATTTTTGTAAAAGGATTTTACTTGAAACAAAGTTTTAACTCTCCCTAAAGTTTCTTCCTCCTTTTTAAGAACTGCCCAAATATAAGCTATGTGGCTTAGAACACTTCAACAGTCTGTTTTGCCTCTTTCACTTTAATTAGGGTGCTGACCAAAGTCCACTCTTCAGAGGAGGCGACCACTACAGGGTGAGCTCAGAGGGGCAGAGATGTGTGGGCAGTGTGGAGAAGGGCAAGGGGAGAAACTACTTTTAGAAAGCTTCAGTTTGGAACAAGGGGGTCTCTCTCTCTCTCTCTCTCTCTCTCTGGTGGTGTTTTTGTTTGTTTCTCGTAATTTAGGCGTTACTTTGTCTAGTAGGAAATTTAATTCCCTACTGATAATAAAAAAACATTCAGAGTTGTCTGGGGCAAACATGGGGACATGTCAAACTTCAGCAATTAGGGAGAGGATTGGTTTGTGGATTTGACACCTGGCATTGTGACCTCCCTTTCTACCTGGACCTGAGATTATATCCTGACTAAAACCCAAGACAAGGAAAATGACTCCAACAAAGACAGAGGCTAAAAAAATGTTTCCGGACATCATCTTACCTCTCAGACTCAAGTTTCCTTGCTTGTGAGAAAAAGGACCAGGTCTCCTCCCTTATAGTAATGTTTTCAAGTTCTTGCTATTTTAAAAACTCTAATTTGTGTCTCAGACAAAGACAAAGACTGAAACTCTGCTGAAGTAGTGTCTTGACTGACTACAATACAAATCAATAAATAGTGGCTTTGAAAGGAAACAATGACGTGTTATTTTAGAAAGTGATGATTTAGTTTGTTTCTATCTTATTGATGATAATTGGTTCATTTAAACTCCATTGTTAGGAAGGAATAATAAAGAATGCTTTGACCCTAAGTCCAGGTTATCAATGTACAAGTTTTTTAATGTTTTACACAATTTCACTTTGGGGACAATCCAGTCAAATTAGAGGGAGACAAAATTCCATTTATATGTTTCCTCTAGTCCATCTCTATCTTTTTTCATCTCCCAGTGCAACATAATTATTTTTCATACACTGTCTCCAACTATTTATAAGATTTGTAACACTTATAAACATCCTTGTAGTAGAATGCTCTACCCCTAAACAAATACTCAGATGTTCAAAAGAAGACAAGAGCCTTTTAAAATGCTATCCAGTAAACAGAGGTGGATATCATTCGAGCACCACTCATTCGTTCAACAGATCTTGTTTACTGCCTACTGTGTAGTGGGCACAGTTCTAAGCACCAAGAATACAGCAGTAAACAAAGCACCCCCCAAAAATCCATGTTGTCATGGAATTTGCATTCTGAAGGGTTAGTGGGTGGAGGAAGTTGAAGGCAGTGATAAACAAAAGGTAGTACTTGATGCAGTAAACTGTCACAAGGTCTAATACAGTACGAAGATCTAAAATGTCTTCTCATTGCAAGAAAACAAAGTAGTTTTCATAGTTTCTGAGAAAATATGACTAGAACAAAGACGTTTTTTCCTATTCAAAGATCTTGAGTGGGGGCTTTCCAGTGAAGCTATATTCCCACTGCTACTAATTTCGAGACTGCGTAAGCTTAATGAACAGGTTTATGATAATGAACACATACATCCTCACTACTTCAACAGATACTTGTGCATCAATGTTCATATCAGCATTAATCACAATAGCCAAAAGGTGGAAAGAACATGGTTGAATGCATAAATAAAATGTGGTGTACCGAAGAAAGCAAGGGTAGCTATGCTTTTATCACACAAACTAGACTTTAAGCAAAAAACAATAACAAGAGACAAAGAAGGCCATTATATAATGATAAAGGGTTGATTCATCAAGAAGATATACCCATCAGTAGATGAGTAGATAAAAACAATGTGGTATATTTACCCCAGGGGTGGGGAATCTCTGGCCTTCAAGCCATATATGGCCCGAGAAATCATTTGGTCTGGCCCTGCCAAGGCAACTGCAGGCAGGGCTCGAAATTCAATAAATCTAGGAGCTTTTATTCATAGCTAATTTTCAAGTTCATAATTTTGTATGGCCCACGAATGATGTTATAAATATCCAAATGGCCCTTGGCAGAAAAAGGCTCCCCGCCCCTGGTTTACACAATGGAATACTATGCAGCTATAAAAAAGAAGGATCTCATCTTTTGGGACAGCATGGAGGGACTTGGAGATTATTATGCTAAGTGAAAGAAGGCAGTCAGAGAAAGACAAGTATCACATGATCTCATGTATATGTGGATTCTAATGAAGAAAATAAACTGACAGAAAATAGA